GTGCTCAGCCCCACCCTTCTCTCTGAGAGGTGTACTAAATCCTGGCTGTAGGGAATGCCTCCCTCTGCTTGGGATTCTCAGCTGCAAACCCTCTCTTTGTGTTAAGTACCTACACTGTTTTAGCAAGAAGTTGGGGGAGGAGAAGTATCTCTCATAACTTTTACCCTAGTGGTTAGAGTACTCACCTGGATGTGGGAGAGCCCTGGTTCAAGATCCTCCTCCTGAGGGGGAGAAGGGATTTGCTATCTGAGAGGTATGAGATATTCTTATGTGAGGCTTTTTCAATGTCTCCTGCTGAAGCTGTTCCACTTTGGAGTAAATAATGAAAGAATCAGTGGGCCAAAGAGATTGATGCTGTAGCCCACTAGTTAGCACACTCACCTGGGAAGTGGCAGAGCCATGCTCCAGTCCTCCTGCTCCACTGACTTAAAAAAATATTTATCCAAATACTATTGTGCGTGCTTCACACAGAATTTCTCTCACATGCAGCCCGTCTCTGGTTTCAGTGTAGAAGCCACAGTGCAGGTGGATGGAGTGTATGCATGACGTGGTTGGGTGGCTCCAAAGGCAGGAGTACTGGGATGGTTTTAGTATGGATATTTCTCAGTTGCTTTTTTAGAAAAGTTTTCTAAATAAAACAAGTCTGTTTAAAATGAGAAATTGACTCCAGGACAGTTTTTCTGCATTGTCTTTAGGAATTTAAAGGTGTGTTAATCAAGGACACTTCCCAGCCTTGAAGCAGGAGGAGGAGGAGCTGTGAAGCAAAGCACAGTTGTTGTGTTGTGGGTGCCAGGAATACAACACATACAGGTGTGTACTATACATGGAAAGAAGCCGGCATCATGCACTAGTAAGAGGGCAGCCCCAAGTACAACATAAACAAAATTATCATGATGAATATTAATATTAACAGTAAACTTTGGAGGGAAGAGGGGGTTAAACAAAGGTAAAAATTTTGACTTTTCATCCCAATTTGTGACACAAACAAATGTCAGAATTTCTTGGGGAACGGAAATTCCATTTGAAGACCAGCTCTAGTTTCTAGCCCTCACGGTTGCAAAGAAAAGTTGGTAAATGTGACCCAAGTGCACTGTAAAGGCTCAGAAACCAGATGGCAAATAAAAAGAACCCACATGTATTTATTTTAAGATCTCATGATTTTTAAGCCAGACTCATCACTTTTGGGGCACGAGTAATTATTTTGAACACTTAGGGTTGCCAAGACTGGGAAGGGGTAAATGTGATGCCCAAGCATGATGGTAAGGGATTAACGTCTCAATTCAGTATAGCAGAAACTTTAGGTGGAGCTAGTTCCCTCTTATTCATGTATTTTCCCTACCTGCTAATACGGTAGCTGCTGGTTGGTGTCACAAGGACTAAGGCAAACCACTTTCTAAGTAGCCATAGTTCTGTGGATGAAACACCCTGGTTCGGTGACGCCAGGGGAAAAGTCTCTCATTCTTTCTATTTTGCTAGCTGTGGCACATATTTTTGCAACAGACAGGAGACTTGTGACTGAGGAACCACAGGAAACTGGGGTAGGGATAGCTCAGTGGTTTGAGCATTGGCCTGCTAAACCCAGGGTTGTGAGTTCAATCCTTGAGAGGACCAGTTGGGGATTGGTCCTGCTTTGAGCAGGGGGGTGGACTAGATGACCTCCTGAGGTCCCTTCTAGCCCTGATATTCTATGAAACTTGCTAGCCAGTACAGACTGTATGAAAAGGAACCACTCTCATCTCAGGCTATATTCCTCCCTTGTTTTTGAGCCCATGTTTCAAGTGGCCTCCTGCCTCCATTTCTCACAGCACTATCACATCCTTAACTATCTCTGACTACAGAGCAACTGAGATCTCCCTATGTCTCCCTTTCCCACCACAAGGCCTCAGTGTAGTTGGCATTGTGTGCAGCAGTATCCCCCCAGCACAGATATATTTATAATAAAAAGAGATTGTTATTTGAATTAGGGCAGGGGTTCTCAGACTTCATTGCAACACCCCCCCGGCAACAAAAATTACTACATGACCCCAGTAGGTGGGAACCAAAGCCTGAGCCTGCCCAAGCTCCACCACCCTGGGCAGGGGGCCCAAAGTCAAATCTCAGTGGCTTCAGCCCAAGGCAGGGGGCCTGTAACCTAAGCCCTGCTGCCCAGGGCTGAAGCCCTCAGGCTTCTGCTTCAGGCAGTGGGGCTCAGGCTTTGGCTCCAGCAAGTCTAAGTCAGCCCTGGTGAGCCCATTAAAATGGGGTCCCAACCCACAGTTGTAGAACAGCTGAATTAGGGTAATGCCTATAAACCCCAAACAAGGATCAGGCTCTACTAGGCTATATGCTGTACAGAGAGATACCAAACAAAAGAGCCCTGTGGCAGACAGCTTACAGAATGAGGGTCAGACAGGCCACATAAGGTGGACAAAACAGACAAAGGGTGTTGGGGAAAGCAGGAGGATGAGATAACAGAATGAAAAGATTAGCAGAGAAACTGAAGTCTCTTCAAGGGTCTAAGGTGGATCACCCTCTTTCCCCTGCAGATATCTTGGTAAAGCTTCCCCACTCCTCTCCTTCTCCAGAAGGAGGCAGCAGCACAGTAGCACTACTTTCTGCTGCTCCCATATGAAGGCCACCAGCTCTTTACATGTATGCCTGTAGGAAGGGTCCACACACTCTGCCCTAGCAAACACTTCTGCCATCTCCCCAGGGCCCTCAGCCTTTGCTGCAGTCACTCTTTTGGCCTGCGGCAGTGGGAGGAGCCATTCCCACCCTGACTCTGTCAGCCAATCACTGCTCTCAGCACCTTCTCCAATGAAAGGCTCACAGGAGGGCATACAGAGGAGCCCAGGGGAAGAAGAAGGAGGGAAAGTTGGAGCATGAGCTACAGCCTAAGCACCAGCCCCTCTGGGCCTCATCAAGTGAGCCTGGCCTGAATGTAGGGTACTCTGCTTGGATGGGGAAACTTAGGAACTGGGGTGTGTGGGGAGGGGTAATTATGTTCTGGAGGAAACTGAAGGAAGGGAGAGGAACTAGCAGTGCCATGGGGAGAATTTAAAGGAGTGGGAGGGGGCACTAAGGCCAGAGAGTAGGTTAATATAGTGTTGGGTGGGTTTCCCTGTTGCCAACACTAAGAGTTTGTTGGCACTAGGAAAGTGGTTGAGATTGAGCCATGGAGTGCTAACTAACCCTGACCTTTTCTCTAGGATAGTGGTTCTCAAACTGTGGGTTAGGACCCCAAAGTGGGTCACAGCCCCATTTTTGTGGGGTCATCAAGGCTGGCTTAGCCTTGCTGGGGCCAAAGCTGAACCCTGAGCCCTACCATCTGGGGCTGAAACTGAACCCCAAGGGCTTCAACCCTGGGAATCAGGGTCAGGTTACAGGCCCCCTGCCTGGGACTGAAGCCATTAGGCTTCAGCTTTGGTCCACCCTTCCCGGGGTGATGGGGCTTGGGCTTTTGTGCCCCCCTGGAGGAGGGCGTGGCTCAGGTGGGATCAGGCTTCAGTCCCTCCTCCTCCTGGGGATTGTGTAGTAAGTTTTGTTGTCAGAAGGTGGTTGCAGTACAATGAAGTTTGAGAACCCCTGCCTTAGGATAAACTCTCTTCTCCTGCTCTTACCTGTAAGATTGCCAAACTGAGGCTCTTTCCACCAAACTCTGGGCTCCCTGGCTAATTGCTCACCAGTGTGGGATTGTTCTCCCTCATTGTCTTAACATAACCTGTTATCACTGCTGGGGTGCATTGCATCTGTTTTCTTTCCCACTAAATAAGGTTTCAAACTCCAGATCCCCTCTCTTCTTCTAGATGGAGCTGGAGGAAGAGCCTATGGCTTCTGGGCTCCAGGGCTCCAGAAAAAGTGAGATCCAAGGAGACTCCTGCACAGGTGAGGAGGAGTAATTTATAGCAGTTAAGTCACCCACAATAAGTGAACTTAGAAAGCTGGGATATCAGCAAAGGTGTTGTGAGCTCTAAAGTCGGTCTTCTCTCATCTGTTTGCAGTCTGCCATGCCAGAGCCTGTGTTGGGCACTGAGCTGGAGTCATGTGCTCTCTGTGATGCTGAGTGCTCCTTTTTGCTCTGGGGTTCTTCTACTTTTTAAAAACAGGAAAACAAAATCCACCTGAAATGAGTGAAAACAAAAGCCAGAACTTCTTTCTCTTTTGGCTTTATCTTCCTCTCTGCCTCCCCAAGTGGGAGGACACCAGAAGTTAGGGGATCTGAGCAGGTGAATTCGGACTCTCACATCTGAAGTATCTCTTACCCCTTAAAAGCATTTTGCAGGGCTGTGAAGGTTACCTGGGTCCTGCTGCACTGTCAGGGTTGTGAAGGCTGTTGGTCACTGCAGAGACACACAATATCTGCAAGTCACTGCAGCTGTTTTGGGGGGAAGCCTCCTTACTCCTATGAGTGAAATTGCTCCTTCCTCCCAATGGAGGGGAAAATGCCAAAGGGACATTGTGGTGTTTTTAGCTCCCTACATGTGTAACTCCAACCTCGGGAATAAGCTAGCAGGCTCTTCACTAATGCATTGAATGGCAGTAACTGAATCAGGTTGCCTGTTAGCTTTCCTGGGCGAGACTTTCTCTTAAACATACATTTTTGTAAATCAGAAGGAAGCCCAGGTTCCTGGTGTGAGGGAGAGGAAACCTCAATTTTAAAGCAGGCAGACTGCAGGGAGGTGCTCTCATTCTCTATTAAATGGGCAGAGGTGGAGGGCATGTGGGCTGAGAGAAGAGGAATAAGTGGCTAAGATGAGATAGCTGGGAGGGGTCACTCGTTTGAGCCCATTCCTTTCTCTTCCTGCTTTGCAACAGGATTTATATGGGCAAAGTGTTTGGCTTAATCTGCCCTGTTCTGAGGGGTGGAAATTCTCAAGAGGGGAGAGAGTCTCATCTGTTCATCTTTGTCTTCCCTCACTCCTCTTTCTCCCACTCCTCCATCACCTATGTCCTTCTGTCCTCTCATCCCCTCTTTTCACTTCCTCCTTCCCTTTGGGAAAGGATTTGGTGGGATTTTTTTTCGGATTTAAGGCCTCACGAACAGTCACTAATTAGAGAGAGATGCCTTTGCAAGTACCAGTCCAAGGCTTTCTTTCTCCCCAGGGCAGGGAATAAACCATATCAGAACTCCCATTTTTATTCCAGCAAGCGATAGCACTATGAGTGAAAATGAGGAGGAGAAACCTAATCAGGAAGAACTTGAGCAGGATGGGTTATCGCAACCAGCTGAAGCCCACAGTCCTGGCTGGGGGAAAGCCAGGCCAGAAAGGCAGCAGAGAAAGAGATGCATTAAATCCGCTCATCAAGCAAGAGGATCTAAGAAACTAAAAGCCACCCTTAATCAACAGAAACCCCCCAGGGAAGAGAGTCCCTACATATGTACAGAATGTGGAAAAAGCTTCAAGGGGAGTTCGACCTTCTTGAACCATCTGAAAATCCACACAGGAGAAAAGCCCTTTGAATGCCCTAAGTGTGGGAAAAGCTTCAGCAGAAAGGCAAACCTTGTGGTACATGAGAGAATCCATACAGGAGAGAGACCCTATAAATGTAAAGAATGTGAGAAAAGCTTTGGCCGGAGCTCAAATCTAATTGCACACCGTAAAACCCACATGAAAAAGAAATCCTATGCTTGTGCTGCATGTAGCAAAAGCTTCACTTGCAGCTCAGCCCTTGTCCAGCATCAGAAAAGCCACACAGAAGAGAAACCTTACAAATGTCCTGAATGCAGGAAGAGCTTCCGCCTGAGCTCAAACTTCCTGAAACATCAGAAAGTCCATGTGAGAGAGACATCCAGTGAATGTGCAACAGGTAACTTGATTGCTTAGATTAAATAAATGGAGGACACGATCTGTACTGGCTTTATTCCAATGCACAGGAAGTCTAGTACACAGTCCTGTGGCCTCCATTGGATTCTAAACACTTGGCCTAGCCTACTACACTTTGGGTTTTGTGTATATCTATGCAATGTCCAACAGAGACCCACTTAAGTAAATGCATCCATAATGTCAATACTGACACTTTTGTATGATGCTCCAGGAATTGCATTAGAGACTTCACTATTGATTTCACATGAAAGATGCTCAGATACTATGATGATGCATGGCAGTATAAAGCCCTAAGATAGCTAGCTATGAAACACTGATAACTCGCATGCACCTAATGAATTATTAAAGGTAAGTCCCTCTTTTTGCCATCCTCTTTAATCCTATAAACCAGCATAACAAGAGTCCTTACATATTGACTCTTTATTAAGAAAAAAATCTCTTCTGAGATGCTGGAAGAACGAAAGAGCCATTTTCCTCTCTCTCCTTGAAAAAGGATCCATTGCTCACTAGGCAATAAAGCAGATAGACTTAAACCAGTCTACGTGATTACTAAAGAAACTGACTCTCTATTTAACAGAGGTATCTTCTAATATACATGGTACAGAACAGTACTCAGTTCTTCTGGGAGTACTTGTGTAATATATTAAAGTTAAGGGGTTACTTAAGAGTCTCATGGACAAATTTCATAATCTTGTATAGTCTTTTAAAATTGGCCTAGAAAATATGGGGTAGGAAACTGGATTTGTTCGTTCCTTTCTTGTGTGTGTATCATATATAATATAAATGACTGGAATACTTAAGTTGACTTTTTTTCTTTTAAATTACAAATTCTTTCAAATTAGAAATTCAAGGGTTGTCTACCATGGAAGACTCTATGAATGACTGGGGAACAAGTAGTTTTATGACCTCAGTGAAGTGAAACCTGATTGAGGCCCTGATTCAGCAGAGCAGTTAATCACAGCCTAATTTAGAGAAGTGACTTTTATTCCAGTTGTCACATCTAACAAAAAAACACTTGAGAGAGAGAGAGAGAGAAGCTCTGTCTAAGCATTTAACTTTCCTTAAACTAAGCGTGTGAAACTCTTAATCCATAGATAATGGAGTTACCTACCCAGCTCTCCCAACATAAACAGTGAAGATTAAAAACTTCATATTCCTGACATTTGTAATTATAAAAAACTTAAAGCTTTTTATACAAAATAAGCCCTCCTCTCCAAAAAGGCACCACCTCACTTCCCCTTTACATCCTGTCATTAAGAAGAAATAGTTTCCCCCTCATTTGATAACAAAGGAACATAACATCAGCTTAATACTGAGCCTACTTAAAAAGAAATTGATCCCATTTATTATAGAGTAGTAATACTTACTCCATAGTTGTATAAAAGACACTCAGTTGCAACAAAGGGGCCCATGTTATAGGACACCAAAAGAAGTCATATTGCTCTCAGAATTCATAGATTCAGGCTGGTACTGAGTTAGATTTTTGCCTGTCAGATTTGAAGTGCATCAGCTTTGAGTTAAACCAGCCCTCATAGAGCGCAGTAGGGAAAGCGCTGCAATCTGTCCACACTGACAGCTGCAAGCGCACTGGCGTGGCCACATTAGCAGCTCTTGCAACGGCCACAGAGAGCAGTGTATTGTGGTAGCTATCCCAGCATGTAAGTGGCTGCAATGTGCTTTTCAAATGAGGGGGTAGGGTGGAGTGTGAGAGGGAGTGTGTTGTGCATATGTGGGGGGAGAGAGAGTGGGTTTTTGGGGGACTGAGAGCATGTCTGCATGCCATCTTGTAAGTTCAGACAGCAACAGATCCCTCTCTCCCCGCCACCCCCCGCCCCCATACACAGCATTCCACAGTAATGGTTGCTTTGTCTCAGAGCAGATAAGCATGCCGGCTGTCAGAAACGGCGCTTTCAAAGGGCATATCGGCATGTCTGCAGTGATTCCAAAACAATGACAAGAGTGGCCACTTGACTTAAGGGGATTATGGGACATTTACAGAGGCTGATCAGAGTGCAGTAATGCAATACCTCGTTCACACTGACGCCTGGGCATTTCAGCCAAGGCGCAGCAAGTGTTAATCTTCTCACCGAGGTGGAGTACCAGGAGCGCTCTAGCCTTGGAGTCAGAGCGCTCTACATGCCTTGCCAGTGTGGATGGGTAGTGAGCTAAGGCATCTGGGGCTGCTTTAATGCACTCTAACTTGCAAGTGTAGCCAAGCCCTTAGTAGGAATGTCATTATAGATGGTTAGCTCTGTGAGCTTAACATAGGTTATCAAATGATACTGGGGACTTGTGTGTGTTTTTTAAAAAGGGCCTGACATTCAGCTGGCTTGCACTATGGGTAATCACCTTCACTTTTGTAAAATGAGTGAAATATGCTTCCCTCTGGTCTGGAGCCAGGCACTGGAGAACTAGTGGCAAGAGCTCGTCCTTGTGAATTTGGATGATCCTATATTTACAGTTCTGCCTTATGATGCTTATCACATAATTCATGCTAAATGTAAATGTGTGATTTACTATTCTACATTCTTTTTACACTTAAAATGTTAACATATTATTTTCATTCCTCTTCTATAGTATGTCATGAGGAACAACAAAATGGTGGCGCAGAGCAAGTAGCTATGGACCAGTCAAGACTTATACTTGAAGAGTGTATGTATAAAAAAGGTTTCTAAAGTACCATGCATAGCACTTTAAATTGTAGAAATTAATACTCTTATCTTCACACAGTGAGGAGAATGAGGGACAACATGGATATGCTTCTTCTGAATCAGCAAAGTCAGCTACAGGTCCTTCAAGAAATTCAGAAACAGCTGAATGTCCTCCTCCCAGGCAATGATCTCATTAATTCAAATGTGTACAGCTTGGGACTTCTGTTAGGACAGCAGGCAGCTGCTATGGCCTCTTTGCCTTTTCCCCTTCTTCTTAACCCCAGTAACCTTCTCCCAGAAAATGCCCGGCCTTTTTCCTCTCAGGTTTCATCCCAGTCATCTACTTCTGAAATTCTCGCTACCGCACAACCTCCAATCTCTCAACTTCCTGCTACTCCGACAACTGCCTGATCCATCCTCCTTGTACTGTAAACATGGCAAACAAAATGTTTATATATGTACCTGTCATTCTGATTTACCCTGTCTGAGGCAAATATGGCTTTTATATTGTAGAGTTACAGTTGAGAGGCCTTTCAAGTGCTATAGCACTGACCCTGCTCTTAATCTCTGAGGCATCCTTTACTGAGATGCAGTCAGTGAACATAGGGGATCAAATCAATCACACATTTGCTTACTGTAGTAACTGGTTTAATACCAAGGATGGATTTGTCCCAGGCAGCCTCTATTAACAGAGATGTTCTTCATGGAGATGCACCTAAGTAGAGCATCCTTATCTGAGGTGCTCTTAGCTAATGTGTCCCCAACTATATGAGGTGTATTTAAATGGCCCTTGTTTATGCACTCTTAATTTCAGCTTGCTTGTGCTCTTAAATGAGGTGAATTTAACTAACGGTTCTTAAACGGCTCTAAGCAAGGGGCTCGGAAAAGAGGTGTCCTTTACACACTTAACTAA